GGGCAGCAGGCGGGCGCTCGCACATGCTCTCTGCAAGGAGGTAAGGAGACCTCCACGGTGAGGCTGAAGGGAAGGAGCCATGCTTGCCCGCTGCTTTGAATTGTTATTAACCCTGTGTGTCGCTGCCGGTTACCATCGAGTCGGCTGGAACAGGACCAGCCCCTGCCCGCTCCCAGCGTCCTCCGGGCAGTGGCATGTGGGAGCGCGTGGGAGCTCATTGCCAGCGCCTTTTGGACAACGTCCTGCGGTGATCTCTGGGAGTACAGGTAGTTCCCAACTTCCAGCAGGGTCCGGTCCATCATCTCTGTCAGAAGTCGGTCTGGCACCCATTGTGTACTTCTTTGTTTTTGTCTTCATTTTTGCCCTTTTTGATGATCAGTGCCTTTATAAATCTGAAAGGTGAGCGCGCGGGTGCGCGCGCGCGCGGTGAAGCCAGGCCGATGTGTAAGTGAGCACATCAGCAGGCGCTCCGCAGCAGCACTGCAGCCCGACAGACTCCTCATGAGGAGACGCGGGACAGCTGATGGCTGTGAGTGGGGTGGAGCATAATTCGAAGGCCGCCTGTCTTTGAAAGACTGGTGGTGTTGCTTCCGGCTTCATCACCGTATGCAGCCGCCACATGATGACAAACTGACCTCGGACAGGTTATGGCTGCAAGTGTGACGATTGAGAAAATCCATGAAAAAAATTCGACATGTCTTCTCTAGAAAAGAAGACCAAGAAGACGAAGAAGTCTCCTGCTGTAAGGTCAGCCTAACCCTCCTCTCTTTGACTGCCTCGAGGAAACTCAATTCAAAGACTTGGCTTGCTCTTCTGGGAGGGAGACATCGCTCCCTGCCTCTGCCCGGCATTGACCTTGAACTCTGAGTTCCCGCCCAAATAGATGAGAGCAGCCCTGGGAGGCCAGCGCTGTGTTTTCTGCCCCTCTGCTCCCACCCGGCCCGACACGTGTTGGTCACGTGTCCCAGTCTCCTGATACACTACAAGCTCCATGACAGAAGAGAAAGGTCAGCTGTCCACTCTGCTCCCCCAGACTCAGCGCCGAGCCCAGCACCCACAAGATGCCACTGAGCACCGCTGGGTGGGAGCCTTTGTGGAAGCAAACTCTTAAGGTAGATCCACAGAAGGAAGTAAACAAGCCCATGGCTTCTTCCAGTATTGCTGTTGGCAGTGCAGCCAGACTCTTGGCTTTGGTTTCTGTGTTGTGCATACAAATCTATGCATGAGGACACTGTGTGACAACTCTCCTTCCACCTGACTGTCTGCCCACAAAGTCTGAAGGAAGAAAGGGGCACTGAATCAGCGCTTTCTCTGGAGGTCTTGACTCAGCCTGATGTGGAGTAGGGATGTAGTAGCTTTTGTGGTAGGGGTATTCAGTATACCCTCATATTTAACAATCCATATGGGGTAGCAAAATTAAAAGTAGTCTGACCCCAGGGTAAATTCATTATCAGTAAATCATGTCAATCCCTACCGTGATCTGGCCTTCCAAACCAAACTCACTGATTCGGACTCATCGTAATCCAATAGGATGGAGTAGAATGGCCTCTGTGGGGTTCAGAGACTCTAGTTTTCTATGGGAGTAGAAAGCCTCCTCTTCCTCCTGTGGAGCGGCTGGTGGTTTCAAACTGCTTACCTTGCAGTTAGCAGCCCAATAATGTAACTCACTACTCCACCAGGGCTCTTTGTCAAGCCTTACTCCTCCATATAATCGACAGTGAGAAGCGGAGGGAAGAGAGTGGGTAAAAGAACTAGATTTGCACCATTCATTATACTTGCCATGGGCATCCTTTATCTCTGTATCAGGGGAGGATTTAAAGCCGCTCAATTGCCTTAAGAAATCCGAAGATTGAGGACATGGATACAAGAGTGGAAAGTCGAGGCTTCTGAGTTGGAGGGTAAAGAGGGAGGGTGTTCCAAGAATGAATGGGCACTGTGTTCACACTGTGACTTTCCGGGCACCAGGAAGACTTTCGCTCCCTATCATAGTGTCCAAAATAGCTACAACTATTGTCTTGGCAGAACAATGGACTGCTTAAAGGACACACCGCTCTATCTCGGTAGACATACAGCCAGAGGGCTCCTTAGAGGCAAGGATGGCAAGACTTCGTCTGACAGACTTTGGACGCATTGTTAGGAGAGATGAGTCCCTGGAGAAGGACATCATGTTTGGAAAAGTGGATGGGGCAGTGTAAGAGAGGAAGGGCTCAATGAGGTGGGTTGGCGCCATGGCTACATCAATGGGCTCAGGCAGAGGAACAATTGTGAGGATGGTGCAGGACCGGTACCCAGGGTGGCTATTGGTTGGAACCAACTCGATGGCACCTAACAACAATTTTTTATGCAAAATTTATAACTATGCCATGATGCTAGGAGAGACCAGCCTCACTTTTAAGAAATACACTTTAAATTATCGGGGGAGTAAAAGACCAAATTGTTCAGATAGAAGCACACACACACACACACACACACGTTGCAAAGAGCATGTTCCGCGATAGAACGAATAGGATACAATGTTAGTGACATGTAATCTAGAGTAAAGGGTGTGTGGAGTTCTTTGTTAGGGGCTTGCGACATTGTGCACACTTGGAATCATTCCCAAGTGAGATTGTGGTCCTTTTTTTAAAAAGGAAAACTAAGAGTCCTTTAAGTTGAGAGCACTTGGAGGACTATTACAGTCCCCACCAAGTCAGGGCAGCCTGACAGGACACAGCAGAGCTGCCCGGGAGGGTTTCCAAGGCTGCGCTCTTGACGGAAGCAGACTACTGCCTGCTTCTCCCGGGAACAGCTGGGGCATCTGAACCAGCACAGTTTGGGTTAACACCCAGGCATGC